GGTCCGGTGTTTTTTCTCTCTCTCTTTGGACCTCAATGAACTCTTATCTGGACCTTTGTGGTTCTACCTGGTTCTGACAAAAATCGCCGGGTGGTAATTTGCTGGTTTTCTGCTGGACTGGCCCTCGTGGTTTCTTCATAGGTGAGGGGGAAGTGTACCTGTGACCCTCAAATTGGACCAGAACCGAACCGAGGTGGCTGTGGGGGATTTCGTCTTCAACATAGCCGGTCTCAACTTCAGTGAGCAGCCCGTTACTTTTACCGACGGACTGTCCACCTCCGTGGAATCGTTGTTTTCACCTGGAGGAGTCGATCCTGTGCTTTGAAGCACCGCCGGACCGGAGCAGAACCGGGCCAGGGACATCTTCAGCCTCTTCGTCTCTCTCTCTCATGCTGTGGAGCGCCAGAGCCGGACTGAAGCAGAATCGGACCGGACCAGTGTCGACTTCAGCCTCAGCCTCTCCGGTCAGTCTCGTTTTTCACCGGGGGTGCCTCTCATGCTGTCGGGTGCGGAGGTGACGTGCAGAGAAGTGGAGGAGCAGAGTGAAGGAGCAGCGTGGAGGAGCTGGGCTGCGTGGTGCTTGAGAGAAGTTCGGAGTTTGTATCGGAGTTGCTCAGGCCTCCATCCAAACTCACATGGATAATAATTAATTTTATTCCGGATCACGCTGTGGGCCCCTGTTGATCTGAAACAAGCTAGGATCATGCCTTTCACTTCAGGAGGATTTTCTGGCAGCTCGCTCTGCTATTTGCTGCAAATTATCTGTTTCTGTTTCGGCCTGTTGATTCTGGACCCAGCTTCTGTTTCCCATGGGAGCATCCATCCATCCATCTTCACTGGGGGGTCAGAGCCCCCCTCAGCCCAACTCAAACTGCAGTTGGGCCACCTCGACGGGTTTGTTTGCCCATTTGAACTGTGACGTTTTATGGTCTGAAACTTTTCTGCATCATTCATATTATTGTCACTATTTTCAGTTCTCAGATTATCTAGAGTCACTGAATCTTTTTAATACACCTGAATCTGACCATCACTGCAACTTTCACTGTTTCTGGGTTCTTAATGATCGCGTCTTCATTAATGTTTCTCATGGTTCGATTATGGGGGCTAATTGTCACACTGTTAACTCCTGTAATTACACATCAGTCACAAAAAACTCAAGAAAATGTCTGATAATAATGTTGTTACTGCTCTCAGGGATTCAACCCAACCCTGGACCCCCCACTAATTACAGCACACCAAATGATTTTAAGAATGTGTCTGGGCTTCATTTTCTGCATGTAAATGCACGTAGCCTTCTGAGAAAACTTGATGCCTTGAAAATTCTGGTCAGTTCTTCTGGGGCAGATGTTATCTTCGTCTCTGAAACCTGGCTCAACAAATCTGTACTCAATAATGACCTGGCAATCAATGGATTTAACATCTACCGCTGTGATCGTCAAAAAAGGGGGGGTGGAGTCATTATTTACATTAGAGATTCTCTGGTTTCTAGTCTTGTATCTTCTAAAACAATTCCAAACCAGTTTGAAGCCTTATCTGTAGACATCACCTTGAATGGAGGCCAGATCTTAACTGTAGTCTGCTGTTACCGCCCACCTTCAGCAACACCTGAGGCTCTCTCCTCCCTGATGGAATTTCTTGGTAATTTAAAATTCAAAGAGGTCCATTGGCTGGAGATCTCAACATTGATTGGTGTAAGTCGACCCCCCTCTGTGATAAATTCAAGGAATGTTGCTTGTCTCTTAATCTTACCCACTTGATCGACTCTCCCACTAGATTAAATAAAAACCATCCTGAAAAATCCTCCATCTTAGACCTATTTCTAACTAATATGTCTCACAAATTCCCTGGTACAGGTGTATTCGCTGATATTTTGAGTGATCATTGTGTGACAGCTGTTTTGAGAGATATTAAACTTCCACCTTCTAAGCCCAGATTAATTCAAAAAAGGGATCTGAAACATTTTTGTGAACAGTCATTCCTCTGGGATCTGTCTCACTTTGACTGGCATCGTATTCTGTTAACTGATGACGTGAACTCCGCTTGGAACTATTTTCATAATAGTTTCATTTATTTTGTGAACAAACATGCACCTTTTCGTCAGTTCAGAATAAAGGGACGAGACAGACCCTGGTTTACTCCAGAGTTAGCTGACCTCCTGCACAGGAGAGATCATCTTTGGGCCACAGCGAGAAAATCTGACTCAGACACTGATTGGTTGAGTTTTTGACAGATGAGGAATAAATGCACAACTGCTGTCAAAGCAGCAAAATGCAACTATTTCTTATCTCAGACCTCCAAAAATCTAAATGACCCTAACAGATTCTGGAAAACCATCAAATCTCTCTCAGGCACCACCCAATCATCTGACCTCCCATCACAACTTCTCGTTAACTCTGTTCCTGTGTCAAATAAGCACGAGATCCTGAACTGTTTCAACAAACATTTTGTTGCCTCTAGTTCTTTATTTGACACAGTTACTAACAGAAAATCAGCCACTTCCCCAATAACCAAACTTCTACAAATCAAATCCCTCCTACAAGTCAATCCTCAGTTAATAACACCTTCTCTTTTTCTCCATTCTCAGTCAGTGAGGTCAATAAACTGTTAAAAGATCTTGACCCAAAAAAATCTGCAGGTCCAAATGAACTTCCACCTTATTTCTTAAGGCTGGCTGCTCATATCATCACAGTCCCTGTGACCCACATCTTCAATCTCTCCATAAGACAAAACTCCATCCGAGACACTTGGAAAACAGCCTTTGTTCTTCCTTTGCTGAAGGGAGGTGACCCCACCTCACTGAACAACTATCGACCAATCTCTAAACTCTGCATTTTAGCCAAGGTTCTAGAAAAACTGATAAACATTCAAATAAAAAATTACCTGGACTCATTTAACATCTTACCTCCACATCAATCTGATTTCAGGAAACAACACAGCACAACCACTGCCTCACTGAAGGTTCTTAATGATGTTGTTGAAGCACTGGATGCTAAGGATTATTGTGCTGCACTTTTCTTAGACCTGTCTAAAGCTTTTGAGACTGTGGATCATAGCAACTTGTGTCATAAACTCTCAGAAATTGGTTTCTTAGAACACACCATTGGTTGGTTTTCTAACTATCTTTCAGACCGGAGGCAATGTGTTCAACATAATGGTACTTCCTCCAGTTATTTAACAGTCAACAATGGTGTACCACAAGGCTCAGTCTTAGGACCCACCCTCTTTACAATCTACATACATGTAAAAACATCCCTAATGCATCCATACATTTCTATGCTGATGACACAGTTGTTTATTGTCGAGCTAAAACTGTTGCTAAGGCTTTCCAGCTTTTGAAATCTGCATTCAACATCATCCAGACTGATTTGTTTAGCCTCAAACTTGTCCTAAATGCCGACAAAACCAAAGGGATGCTTTTTTCAAATAGGAAGTTGGTCCCAGCAGTTCTTCCTCCGATTTTATCCTCAAATGGTGTCCCCATTGAGTTTGTTGATTCCTATAAATATTTGGGTATCTTGGTCGACTCACATCTCTCTTTTAAGCTCCATGTGGAAAACTTGGTAAAGAAACTGAAAGTTAAACTGGGTTTCTTTTTCAGAAACAGATCCTGTCTAACCCTGAATGCTAGAAAACGCCTTGTATCTGTGACTTTCCTTCCCTCCATTGATTACAGTGACATTATTTACATGAACGCTCCTACAAGAACCCTGCAGATGTTGGATGTTGTCTATCATGGTGCACTAAGATTCATAACTGGCTGTGATTATCGTACCCACCACTGCACCCTGTATTCACTGGTTAACTGGACATCTTTAACTTCACGCAGACTCTCTCACTGGTACATTTTCATCTTTAAATCACTTCTTGGTCTGCTGCCTTCATACATCTCCTCCTACATGTTTTTGCGTGAGTGCAGCTACGGAATGCGCTCTCAGGACATTATTACCTGCAAAGTTCCCTCAATGAGGACTGAACTAGGCAAAAGGGCCTTCTCATACTCTGCTCCTGTTTTCTGGAATATCTTATAAAAAGATTTGAAGCTCTTGACCTTGACCTCTCTAGATGGCTTTAAGAATCTGTTGGACTCCTGGCAGGGACCAATGCAGACATGTTCCTGTTTTTAGTTTTCTACATTCGCCTTAGAATCTAGCTGGTTTTTTTTTTGTTGTTGTTACCTTTTCCTTTTAGCCATCCTATTTGCAAAAAAAAAAAAAAACCTGCAGTATGACTTTTTATAATTGTTTATTGTTGTTGCTGATGTCCATTGTTGTCATCTTTCTTTGTTGAAATCAGGTCTCTCTTGTAAATGAGTCCTCGAGGCTCAATGGGATTTACCTGTCTAAATAAAGGTTGATTGAAAAACATATAATGTAACTTTAAGACTGATTCCCAGCCGGTTTTCACACATGATGGGAACAGAGGGTCCTCGTCTGTGAATTAGAGTAACAAAGACTTTAAGAAATCCCTACTGTTAAGGTGTTTAGGTGTGAATTGCCAATCTACATATGTGTGTGTGTGTGTGTCTTATCTCACTCAGCCTTATAACCTGAATCCCTTGAATCACTTCTGTTTGAATTGAGAAAGCTCCTCGAATGAGGAGCGAAACGTCTTCTGTTACAAATAAAGTCCAGTTGTTTTTGTATTGAACGCTTTTTGAATTCATCATGTCCTGGATGACTGAGAATCTTCACCAGCATGTTTATAAGACTGAGCTGAATGCAGCACCTCAGACTTAAGAAGTCTTTCGGATGAAAGACGAAACGTTTCTACATTTTTTTTTTTGTTATTGTTTTGCTTTGTGTTTTTTTTTGAATGTCCAGAGGACCAGATTTAACTTTTGTAGATATGTGAGTAAAGGCAACAGGATAACCACAAAATATTTCTGCTGCTTCCTCTGTGCTTTGCTTACTCCACCTAGATGTTTCAGACAATCAGTAAGGTCAAACCAGGCAGTATTACTTCTCAAAGAAATATTTGAGCTTGTTCTTGGCAGTGCTGACCTGTGGGGGCTGAGATGGTCGTGGGTTCACTAGTTCTGCGGCCCCTCTCTGCAGTCATGCTGATGGTATACAGCATACCGGGCGTCAGGCCTTTCAGGATGTGAGACTCAGAGCTGCCTGGGACCATGTCTTCAGCCCTTTGGCCATCAGCTGAAACGTAGACCAGTCTGTAGGTGTCTAATTTAGCTACAGGGTGCTTCCACTCCAGCATCATGGTGGTCTCAGTTACCGTTGCTACAGTAAGGTCTTTGGGAGCATCCAGGGCTGGGAAATAGAACAAAGGAAAGAGATTATATTGTCATTAAGAGGGAAAAGTTTAGTTTGAACATATAATTTCACATCAACCATGAACCTATACCATAACGTATATCATGTCATAACCATAGGGGCTGAATTTATGTTACAAAATGGGCAAGCACATGTTTCACCTGCTCCACTAAGCAGACACCTAAAATCATATCTAAACCTTTTTTTTTTCTCCCCCCCCCTCATTTGCTCCCTTTTTCAGGGATTGCTACAGCTAATATCAGGTACTTGAACTAGTCCAGATATTATAACGTGTAGTGGAGCTCCGAAGCTAAGCAAAGCTAACCGACCTATCTCACTACATTACTTACTCTCAAAAAGACATGGCACTTATTTTTACGCAGGATACCCTTCCTGATACAACCACAGTGTTGTAATCTGGAGGCAATGGTTGAACCCAGATGCAGACAGGACTCGGAGACCCAGAGAGTAAAATAAGAAATATTTTTAATAAACAAAAACAAGAGTTGATGTGGCAGCTGAACTCACAGTAACAGGAAACGTAGAAATCACTGGAAACACTAGGGACTCAGGAGGCTTCACTAAATTATGCCCAGACAACAAATAACACACAGACTTACTGTATATACAGAGACTAATGAGACAAAACCACAAACACCTGGACAGGAACATAGAAGTGACACAAGGACAGTCTAATTACAAAGATTGGACACCAGGGAGTGCAGATGCAGGACGACCACAAGAGGGCACCATCCTCGCACACCGAAGTACCACAGCTCACATGTATGGAGCAGAGGGTCCGTGTACATTCAGGCAGTTAATTTTTTCGTTTGATACAAAAAATGAAAAAACCAAAAACACACTTGTTTTTTTGTTTTCCGTTTATTAAACCAAAATGAAAAATCGGATAACGAAGCGTAATCCGATTTCCGATTTTGTGCACAAAACGAAAATGGAAAAAACGCATAACGAGCGCTCAGTTTCGATTTTCATTATTTCATTTTTAACAAGTGGTCTGACCCGAAAGTTCTCTCTGCCCCGCACCGTGTAGCTTGCTGCTTGTGTACATACTCTTTGAAATGAGAAAGCTCCTTGGATGAGAAGCGAAACGTCTTCTATTACAAATAAAGTCCAGTTGTTTTTGTATTGAACGTTTTTGAATTGTGTACACATGTTCGGACACTCCCATAGACTTCTTGCAAGAATGGAATGCGGAAGTCACGTGGGTCATGCAGCGGCTCTGGTTCCAAATAGTTCCAAACAGCAGCGGTTCTAGCATTGAACGTAGTTCATTTTCTGTGTTTCTGAAATGTTTTCTCTGGTAAATTGATGAAAATGCAACACTTTTTTTTGCCATTGTGGAGTGTTATCTGACTGTTCTGTACCATAATTTATCAACATTAATACTTCATGTAGCCAGTTTTAGTTAATTAAACATGTTAAATTGCTAGTTGTGTATTAGCTGTTATTATTAGCCGTTTTTCTAAGAGATTGACGTGGTTAATTTAGTTCAAGTTATAGATCCTTTGTCAAAGACTGCAGCATAAATGGGGACATTATCATTAAAGAAAAACATGATCGTGGAGACGAGCCATTTTTTAAATGTTTTCTAGGTAAACCACGAGAGAATGACTTCAGTCTGAGTGAACTGTTGAAGCATGTTGCATTCAAAGTATCACAAAGGTAACAAGATCTCATTTTCCGTCTTCTCTTAAACAATATAAGCTGAATAAAAATGAAATCAAATTAAAATGCAATAGTTTTATATTATTAGTTTAACGTATGGTAATCATGGGTCAAGTTGAGATGAGAATCTCTTCAAGACAGAACAAGAAATAAGTCTCAAAAAGTTAATTCAGGTCCTCTGGATGTTCAAAAAAACAAACAAAAAAACCTGTAGAAACCTTTCGTCTTTCATCCGAAAGACTTCTTCAGTCATTGGAGCTTTATTCAACTCAGTCTTATAACAACTTCTTATAAAAGCACCTTCTCATAGTGGATCAACCAGTTTGCTGCTGACAGCCAAAACTAGCTGTTCACATGATTAAATAGGACCATCAGCCTAACAATGTATCGTTAGCACCCTGATGGCTGCTTGCTAGTCACAGGGGGCTGAGTGATACTAGCAATAACAGCATTGTAAGATGGGGACAGTTGAACACGGAGGCCTTCACCCCTGTTTAATGATGGATGGTTTATTTTCACAAAGATGGCCTCCTTTACTCCTCTCTCAAACCATCGTTCCTCTCTATTAAGGATGTGAACATCTTCATCCTTGAAAGAGTGACCTATGGCCTGGAGATGAGTGTAGACTGCAGAGTCCTGGCCTGATGATGTTGCTCTTCTGTGCTGGGCCATCCTTTTGGCCAGTGGCTGTTTAGTTTCCCAGATGTAAGACTGATCACAGCCCTCCTGACTCTGAACAGCATACACAACATTATTCTGTTTGTGCCGGGGGACTGGATCTTTGGGATGAACCAGTCTTTGCCGTAATGTATTTTGGGGTTTAAAAGCCACTGGGACGTTGTGTTTAGATAATAAAAAAACCAATTTCTCTGAAACTCCTGCAACATACGGAATAACCACTGGTCTGGGTTTGGGTTTCTCCTTTTCACCTGATGGCTGACTGGAGTCCTGTTTGGGTTTCTTCTCTGCTTTCAGGAAGGTCCAGTTAGGATATCCACATTGCTCTAGAGCAGGGGTGCCCAAACTTTTTCCCTGAGAGGGCCAAATTTAAAATCTATTAGAGGGCTGCAGTACAAATGCAGTAGCTAATATAATACATGAAATGCATATACTTCTTTAAAGTCCATTTTTTTATTACAGTTACTAATCCTTCCATTCTGTATAAAGAACATCACAGAACAGGCTGTGTTGGTGGTGGTGGTGGTGGTGGGGTCCTCCCCCAGAAATCAATCCATCCATCCATCCATCCATCCATCCATCCATCCATCCATCCATTCTCTTCCGCTTATCCAGGGTCGGGTCATGGGGGTAGCAGCCTAAGTAGGGAGGCCCAGACTTCCCTCTCCTCAGCCACTTGGGCCAGCTCTTTCGGGGGAATCCCAAGGTGTTCCCAGGCCAGCCAAGAAACATAGTCCCTCTAGCGTGTCTTGGGTATTCCTCTGGGCCTCCTCCCGGTGGGACTTGCCCGGAACACCTCACCAGGGAAGCGTCCGGAAGGCATCCTAAACAGATGCCCGAGCCACCTCAACTGTCTCCTCTCGATGTGGAGAAGCAGCGACTCTACTCTGAGTCCCTCCCGGATGACTGAGCTTCTCACCCTATCTCTAAGAGACAGCCCAGACACCCTGCGGAGAAAATTAATTTCGGCCTCCTGTATCCATGATCTCGTTCTTTCGGTCACAACCCAAAGCCATAGATGAGGGAAGGAACATAGATTGACCTGTAAATTGCGAGCTTCGTCTTTTGACTCAGCTCTCTCTTCACTACGACAGACCAATAGAGTGCCCACTTCACTGTCGATGCTGCACCTATCCGCCTACCGATCTCACGCTCCATTTTTCCCTCATTTGTTAACAAGACCCCGAGATACTTAAACTCCTCCACTTTGGGCAGGACCTCCTCCCTGACATAGAAAGGGCACTCTACCCTTTTCCGGCTCAAGACCATGGCCTCGGATTTGGAGGAATTGATCCTCATCCCGGCCGCTTCACACTCGGCTGCAAAATGCTCCAGCAAAAGCTGTAGCTCACGACTTGATGAAGCCAATAGGACCACATCATCTTCAAAAAACAGAGAATGAATCCTAAGGCCACCAAAACGGATCCCCTCAACACATTGGCTGTGCCTAGAAATGCTGTCCATAAAAATTATGAACAAAATATGTGACAAAGAGCAACCTTGGCAGAGTCCAACTCGCACTGGGAATGAGCCCGACTTACTGCCGGCAATGTGGACCAGGCTCTGACACCGGTCATACAGGGACCTTACAGCCCGTATCAAAGGGCCTGGTACCCCATACTCCCGGAGTACCCCCACAGGGCTCCCTGAGGGACGCGGTCAAACACCTTCTCCAAGTCCACAAAGCACATGTAGACTGGTTGGGCAAACTCCCACGCACCCTCCAGGACACTGCTGAGGGTGTAAAGCTGGTCCACTGTTCTACGACAAGGATGAAAACTGCACTGCTCCTCCTGAATCCGAGGTTTGACTATCTGATGGACCCTCCTCTCCAGAACCCCCGAATAGTCCTTACCAGGGAGGCTTAAGAATTTTGAGAATTTTGATTAAAGTAGATGCCATTTCCTGCATTCTTGTGTATTTTACAAAAGTTTATTACAGTAGATTAACATGAAACAAAAGATGTAAACTCTGTTATTATTGAAATCTCTGATTGCAAAGCATTCTTGCAACACCACAGCAGCTCTGCAAGTAAGGAGAATTCACTTCAGGACAAATCGAGGTTGATAATTGGTCAATTGCTGACGTGCCTACTGGACTGATTGACAAGTGGCAGGACTTGTGCAAAAAAAAAAAAATCATAGATTTTATTGGCCCGTTTGAGACTGTCGTCATTTATTCCATATTTCTTCAATATTTTGGTGAATCTAAGGTTTGAGAAATGTTTCCTTACACAATCATAATGATTTGTTTATTTTTCCAGAGATGCTGAGTTTAAATTTAAAGAGGTTCAATTCAATTCAATTCAAAAATACTTTATTAATCCCAAAGGGAAATTATTTGTTGTTGTAACTCATTATCCTAATTTCATTAAGAGATGTTATAGATGCTGATGGCTGTAGACAGGAAGGATCTCTTGTAAAGGTCCACCCCTCAGTGGATCCTAAGAAACTGACTGCAGATGTCATCCGATCCGTCCACCCAGACTCGGCTGGCCTCTCGGTTCCCCTGGGCTGTAGGACTGCCCAAATGTCGGGCAGAACTCCTCCCAGAGCAATGGCCACTCCTCCCAGCAGTCTGCCGAGCTCCTTGTCGATGCGGACAGCCAACTGTAGGTGCCGAGGGACGATCCTGTCCTTCTGCTGTCATGAGCCGTGTTTCCTGCTAGTTCCAGGATCTCAGTGGTCAGGTACTCGAGCACAGCTGGCAGGTAGATGAGAATGCATCCACAAAACTTCCTTTTCAACTCATTTGAGATTTGGGGCTGTAGTTGAGATATTATTTGAGCTTTTGAGATGTTAATCATCTGCTGTTGGTTGTAGAAAACTGCCTTGTTGCCATGATTACGCATCATAACAAACGTCCAAAACTAAAAAATTTCAGTAAAAATCCGTCCAGCTGCACAGCATCCGATACCAGAGGAAACAACCATCCAAAAAATGTGATTTACATCCAGAAAAAGAGGAATTAAGTTTCCAAAAGCAAAATCTCAGAATGAAAGTAACAGAGCTGCTCCAACATGCAGCCACTTTGAGCGGTGCAATTCTAGAACGCAAGGTAACGCAACGCAAATTCAAATCACCACTGAAACCAGTTCATATTTACAATTCACTTTTAAACACTTTGCGACTTATAAGTGTGTTCTATCAAAGGAAAAGGTTATTCAGTGGCAGGAGACTGCCAAGGGATGGTAGAAAGTCTGTCAAAATGAAATATAAAAATATAAATTCAAATTATTTAAAAAATACATAAATTATCTACAGGCCTTGTGATGGACTTGCGATCTGTCCAGGGTGTACCCCGCCCCTCGCACAGTGATAGCTGGACACAGGCACCGGCGACACCCATGACCCAAAATGGAAGATGCGGGTAAAAGATAATGGCTGTATGGATGGATAAATGATCTACTCTACTGTGTAATCCGTGTAGTTAAATTATGGAAGTCAGGCCGACTAACAATAAAGTTAATGGGCGTAATCAATGAGTGTAAGCACATTGATTCTTCAAAGGAAATTTTAATATATGAGGACAGCTTGGCGGGCCGACAGAAATAGTTTGGTGGACCAGCTTTGGCCTGCAGGCCCCACTTTGGGCACCCCGGCTCTACAGACTGTCTTGTGTAGGATTTCTCCTTCTGCCTGGCTCCTGAGTTAGTGGAGATGCTGTCTGCTCTGTGGTACAGAGTCCTGATGACTCCTAACTTGTGCTCCAGAGGGTGATGGGAGTCAAAATGCAATTACTGGTCTGTGTGGGTGGGCTTGTGGTACACCTCAGTTTGCAAATCTCCTCCATCAGAAACTGAGACCTCACAGTCCAAGAAAGCCAACCTGCCATGTTTTACATCTTCTCGTGTGAACTTTATATATTTATCCACAGAGATGATGTGATCAGCGAAATGTTGGACTTCCTGAGATTTAATTTTAACCCAGGTGTCTGGGCCTTCCTGAAAGCAGAGAAGCAACCCAAACAGGACTCCAGTCAGCCATCAGGTGAAAAGGAGGAACTCAGACCCAGACCAGTGGTCATTCCGTATGTTGCAGAAGTATTAGAGAAACTGAGACGTTTATTTTCTAAACACAACGTCCCAGTGGCTTTTAAACCCCAGAACACATTACGGCAAAGACTGGTTCATCCCAAAGATCCAGTCCCCCGGCACAAACAGAGTAATATTGTGTATGCTGTTCAGAGTCAGGAGGGCTGTGATCAGTCTTACATCAGGGAAACTAAAGAGCCACTGGCCAAAAGGATGGCCCAGCACAGAAGATCAACATCATCAGGCCCGGATTTTGCAGTCTACACTCATCTCCAGGCCAGCGGTCACTCTTTCAGGGATGAAGATGTTCACATCCTGGACAGAGAGGAACGATGGTTTGAGAGAGGAGTAAAGGAGGCCATCTTTGTGAAAAGAAATCGTCCATCATTAAACAGGGGTGGAGGCCTCCGTGTTCAACTGTCCCCCTCTTACAATGCTGTGATTGCTAGTATCACTCAGCCCTCTGTGAATAGTAAACAGCCATCAGTGTGCTAATGATCCATTGTTAGACTGATGGTTCTTCTTGACCATGTGAGCAGCTGGTTTTGGTTGTCAGCAGCAAACTGGTTGATCCACTATGAGAAGGTGCTATTTATAAGACTGAGCTGAATACAGCACCTCAGACTGAAGAAGTCTTTTGGATGAAAGACAAAATGTTTCTACAATTTTTTTTGTTTGTTTTTTAAACGTCCGGAGGACCAGATTTAAACAGCCACTTTCTCCTGCAGTGTGGGCTACACACAGGTGCAGCAGGTGCTAAATAATTTAAAATAATTTATTTTAATTAAAAATTCCATGTCGATCGTGCAGCTCATCCATCAATCAGCCAGTTGTGTGTCATGTCAAATCTTATTTTGAAAAAACGTGATAGCGCGAGTCCGCGAAAAATGAACCGCAAAGAAGCGAGGGACTACTGTATAGTGTAAAGTTTGTACTTTTGACCTAATTAAAAGGAGATGCTGAGATGCTGTGTCTTTCCAGCAAGAGCGACTAAAATGGGGGCATGTTTTTAATTGCGCTCTCCAGTAAAATTGTGTTTTGTCCCAGTGTGATGAACTCCATCTTCTAGTGGATTTGATTTGACCGCAAAGCCGCATACATACGCCTGCTTTTCTATGACTCATCTTACTGTTAGTGATTTGTCAAGACAACACAAGCTTCAGTTGATTGGATGTAATCCCTGTCTTTTAACTAAAGTTAAGTTGAGGCGGACCGGTGGGCTGTTTCACTCTAAAGATGGAAAGGCAGCCCCCGGCCGAGCGCTTTAAGCCTTGATTGTATCACAACATAAAATGAAAGGTGATATAAATATATATATATGTATTTTTTTGATGGTTCATATATGATGTGTGCATTTTTATGATTTTTAAAAACGTTTACACAAACCAGATCTGTTTTAAATTTTTTTTTTTAAGCAAAGCTGTAATGGATGCATCCCGAGCCCGGTGAGTCTCCATGTGTGTTCTCACCTGTCACTGCGTTAGTGGTGGTGGGCAGACTCTCCCGTTCATCCTTCACTGCTGTCACACCCATCCCGTACTCTGTTCCTGGTCTCAGGTCTGCACAACACAAGAGTGGAACATAAAAACACTGAGGTGCTGAGATAAAGAAAAAGCCTACCTCATGTTTAGTTCAGCAAATTCACAGAGGTGTCAACAAATGAGACGAGGGAAGCCCCTGTAGTCAAGTGGCCATCTGGTTCAGCTAATGGCTCCGGGGCCACAAAAACACTTTCTTGTGGCTTGATTGCACAATAGATTGGAGCCTAATTGCATTTCATGGTATGCCTGTGTTCACTGTGGAACATCAGTGTTGTATTTGCATTGATGGATGTATAGAGCCCTTGTTGTAGAGCAGAAACACTTCTTTCTGAGATACTGAAGACTCCAGGGGTTGTTTGGTCTTTACAATCAAGCCCTCTCTCACACTGATCGCCTCTAATTCCTTTATTAACTCCCACAGAGGTCATGGACCACAGAGCTTTGCTGCATGAAATTACACCTAATGCCCGGGAAACTCATTATCAATAAAATCACGAGCGTGAAGGCAATTACAGATAATAAGTGTGTGAAAGAAGTGCTGAGGTGTGTGTAGAGCATAGGGCGGTGTGTGTGAGGGGTGTGGGGGGGAGGAGGCTGAATGGACACAGTGCTTCATTTTCATTGGATAGGCCTCCCAAGGACAAAGAAGTGGGTCAAACAAAGGTACTAGTGGTTAATTTTTGGGAGTTTCTTGTTTTCTGTTTGTGCCTCATGCTGGTCTAAAGCACTACAGCCTGGAAACAAACAAACAAACAAACAAACAAACAAACAGGAATCCATTTATACTGTCAGCATCACTCAGAACGATCAGAACCACAAATGCTTTTTATTACCACAAAACAAATGTTTGAATTAGTGCATGAACATTAGACTGGTTTTTGTTTGTTTCTTAAGAAAATGGGTCCTTTGTCAAAAAGAATTTAACAACACAAAAAAAGAAAATGAATAGTTAAAATGCTGTTAACTATAGAAACTGCATTTCCTGCAAAAATGTGTTATGAAGGCTTGTTGCTACAAGAGTTTTCTGAACAAGCTAAAGCTTATTTAAAATACACCAAAAGCTGAAAATTAGAAAGAAGAAGCTGAAAGGAGCACAATGAAGCTGATAGTATCAAAAAGTAGATGAAAAAGCTGGAATTAGCAGATAGAAACTAAAAGATGTAGAAAGATGCTGAAATTAGCAGAAATGCCATAAGCAACACATCCATCCATCCATCTATCCATTAACTTTAACTGCTTCTTCCATTTTGGGTCACTGGGGTTGCTGGTACCCATGTCCAGCAATCACTGTGCGAGGGGCGGGGGACACTCTGGACAGGTCTCTAGTCCATCACAGGACACATAGAGACAAACGAGACAAACAACCATTCACTCTCTCACTCACACCTAGGGACAATTTAGAGTTACCAATCAGCCTAACATGCATGTTTTTGGTCTGTGGGAGGAAACCGGAGCACCCGGAGAAAACCCACGCATGCACGGACAGAACATGCAAACTCCACCCAGAAAGGCCCCCGGACCGGAATTTTAACCAGGGACCTGCTCGCTGAGAGGCAGCGGCTCTACCAGTTGCACCACTGTGCTGCCCATAAGCAACACAAAAAAGGTTAAATTAGTAGAAGCTTAACAGAGCGCAAAAAAACAATAATGAGCAGAAAAATCTGCCGAAAGTAGATGAAAAAAGCAGAAATGGCTAAAAATGATGAGAAAGAAGATGAATAAAGCACATAAATGCTGAAATTAGGTAAAAAGTTGCCAAAAAGTGGAAGTTGGCAGACAAAAAGTTAGAATGTAGTTGAGAACTTAGATAAAAGCTGAAAATAACCCCTAGTAAAGCAAAAATTAGCAGAAATTAGATAAAGGGGTCTTAGAAAGATTTACAAGAAATACTGAAAAGAGCAGGAAAAAAGAAAGAAAATGCTGAAATGAAGAGAAAGAAACTGAAAAAAAAGCTGAAATGAGCAGCTAAATGTTTTAAACAGCACATCCAGGATGTAGAGAGCTCCATTCATTTTCACTGAGAACAATACGGCTAAAGAAGCCAAATATTTCTAAAAGTAAATACTGCACAAATATCAAAAGTCAGAGCAGGAGATTTCTGAATGAGCTGGACATTTTCATCTATGAATTGTTGAAATAACACAAAAATTGTGGAACAAGTTGGATGCCCAAAACCATACACAAGGAAAATGGATCTCGGTAAGGACCTTTAATTGTGTGAATGTTTTATAAGCATTCACACAATTAAAGGTCCTTTTTTCATGCAAAAGTTTTCATCACAAATCTCTTTCTAATGGAGGAGATCCGGCTGTTTTATGACATCAGACCAACTTCCTGCAGTACTGATACATGGGTTAATGCTTGATGTGCTGACTTTTGGTTATAAACATCAAATTATAGCTCAATATATCCAACTGACTGAGTTATAGCCATGTTTGCATTGAATTCAATTCAATTCAGTTTATTTATATAGCGCCAAATCACAACAAAGTTGTCTCAGGGCACTTTACAGGAACATTCACATAAAAGCCAATTAGTAAAGTTCTCTATTTAAGGAATCCAGCAGACAAGATGAATCTTGGCTTCGTTGCTGTCTCCCATCCTGAGCAAGCACAGTGGCAACAGTGGAAAGAAAAAACTCCCTTTTAACAGGAAGAAACCTCCAGCAGAACCAGGCTCAGGACAAGCGGCCATCTGCTTTGACCGGCTGGTTGAGAGGACAGGAAGGACAGACAGACGAACACAGAATAGTAGGTCCAGATATAGGTCCAGGTATATCTGAAAGACAAAAAAACATGTTAAGGATAGAAAAAATAATTACAAATACAAAACAGGTTGAGCAGAGTAAGTAAAGACAGTAGCAGAGTGAAAATTGTGGTCAGTTTGTCCTCCAGCAGTCTAAGCCTATAGCAGCATAACTAAGGGACAGCTCAGGAAACCCAAGCCGACACTAACTATAGGATTTATCAAAAAGGAAAGTCTTGAGCCTAGTTTTAAAACTGGATAATGTGTCAGCCTCACGGACAGAAATTGGAAGTTGGTTCCACAAGAGAGGAGCCTGATAACTGAAAGATCTGCCTCCCATTCTGTTTTTGTAAATTCTAGGAACCACAAGTAAACCTGCATTCTGAGAGCGAAGTGCTCTGTTAGGAAAATATGGAACAATAAGATCTGTAATATAAGATGGAGCTAGGTTGTTGAGATCTTTGTAGGTTAGAAGTAAGATTTTGAATTCTATTCTGGACTTGACAGGGAGCCAATGGAGAGAAACTAAAACTGGGGAGATATGATCTCTCCCACCAACTCCAGTTAAGACTCTGGCAGCAGCATTTTGGATCAACTGAAGATGTTTTAAAGAAGTATTTGGACATCCAGATAATAAACCATTGCAATAGTCCAGTCTAGACGTGACAAATGCATGGACCAGTTTTTCTGCATCATTTTTAGATCAGATGTTTCTAATTTTAGTGATATTACGCAGGTGGAAGAAGGAGGTTCTAGTAACGTTTTTAATGTGGGGGATAAAAGACGTGTCCTGATCAAAAATAACACCAAGATTTTTAACATTAGAGCTGGAGGACAGATTAATGCCATCTAAGGAGGGAGAAAGACTGAAAAATTCAGTCTTGCTCAACAGAACAAAAACTGTCCAAACATAAATCAGGCTCTAGTGAAATTTTTAAAGTTGCCTCATTTGACAGGGGACTAGAGATAGTAGAAGGAAGGATGGTTTGAATTTTCTCTCTAATTGAAATAATTTTATTTATAAAGAATCTCATGAAGTCATCACTACTTATCGTTGTAGGGATACATGGTTCAACAGAAATGGGACTTTTAATTAGTCTAGCAATAATACTAAACATAAACCTAGGGTTATTTTTATTCTTCTCTATTAAAGATGAGTAATATAAAGTTCTAGCTTTACAGAGAGCTTTTTTATATGTTAGCAGACTATCTTTCCAAGTTAAATAAAATTCTTCAACATTAGTAGAGCGCCATTTTCTCTCCTGGTTTCTAGATGCCTGCTTTAAAGTACGTAACTCAGAATTGAACCAAGGAGCCAGATTCCTCTGACTGATTACTTTCTTTTTCAGTGGAGCAATTTTATCAAGTGAAGTTTGCATTGAAGTTGTAAGATGATCAACTAGATGATCTAAGTCTCTGTTCTCTGATGCATTACTCTGCAAGACAGAGGAAAACATTGATGGAAGAGATTGTTTAAATGTGGTTACAGCATTTTCTGATAAGCACCTGCTGAGATTAAATTTACTCTCAGTGACTGTGTAGTCATTTAATGTAAACTCAAAGGTTATTAAAAAATGGTCGGACAGAAAAGGATTTTGAGGAACTATTACCAAGTCCTTAATCTCTGTACCATAGGTCAGAACTAAATCAAGAGTGTGATGATAAGAATGAGTAGATGTGCGGACGTTTTGGGTAAAACCAAATGACTCTATTAAATTATTAAAGGCTATGCTTAAGCTATCACTCTCAACATCCACATGAACATTGAAATCACCCATTATGATGATTTTATCAGTATTTAATAATAAGTCAGTTAAGAATTCTGAGAATTTAGACAAAATCTGAGAGTAAGCGCCTGGTGGACGATATATAACAACTAGTAAAAGTTGCTTTTTTGATTTCCATTTTGGATGAGAAAGACTGAGGGACAGTGATTCAAAAGAATCATAACTAATAACTGGTTTGGCATTAATCAATAATCCTGACTGAAAAATAGAAGCTACTCCTCCACCTCAGCCAGTTGTTCTAGGAACATGAAAATGTAAATAATTAACAGGAGTGGATTCATTTATACCAACAAAATCCTCCTGTTGTAGCCAAGTTTCTGTCAGACACAATAAATCAATATGATGATCAGTTATCAGTTCATTCACTAACAGGGATTTAGAGGAAAGAGATCTGATGTTCAATAATCCACATTTAATGCTTTTATGATTTTGCTCTGGTAAAGTAACTGTGTTTATTTTAATCAGATTTTTATGGTTTATATTTTTAGAGCTGATTTTTTGTTTACTTAATTTGAGCCGTAGGCGAGTTGACACTGTTTCAATGTGGGTGTGGGTGGGTAACAGAGGAGAAGCAGCAGAGAGGTGTGGAGGACTACAACTCTGCTTCCTGGACTGGACCCTGGGTTGTCAATAATTTGGGGAATAAACAAAATCAGCCAAATTTCTAGAAAGAAGAGCGGCTCCGTCCAAAGTGGGATGGATGACATCTCTCCGCATCAGACCAGGTTTTCCCCAGAAAGAACTCCAGTTATCTATGTAGCCCACGTCGTTGTCAGAACACCACCTGGACACCCAGCGGTTAAATGACCACATACGACTAAACATGTCATCGCTGGTCAGGTTGGGGAGGGGGCCGGAGAAAACTACGGAGTCCGACATGGTTTTAGCAAAGTCACACACCGAAGCAACATTAATTTTAGTGACCTTCGATTGGCATAAGTGTCATTACCGCCGACGTGAATAACAATCTTACTGTATTTAGGCTTAGCCTTAGTCAGCAGTTTCAGATAAGATTCTGTCGCCCGCTCTGGCCCCCAGAATGCATTTGACTATGGCCGCTGGAGTCCCTAAAGCCACGTTTCGGACTATGGAGCTTCCAATAACCAGGGTCTGCTTCTCAGCAGGTGTGTCACTGAGCGAGGAAAATCTATTAGAAATGTGAACGGGTCGGTGGTGAACTGGGAGCTTAGCCTTTGCACTACACTTGCTCCAGACCGTCACCCAGTCGGCCTGGGGTCCCGGCTGCTCGGGGTCTGCTGGAGGACCGCTAACGGGAGCTAGCCTCTGTGATTCCGCGCTATCTAAGGGGACCTGGCTAGCTACTGGTTTTTCTACAGCGTGGAGCCGAGCTTCCAGTTCAGACAGCCTCTCCTCCAAAAGGTTGATTTGCTGTGGCAGCCATTTTGAATCGGGCTGATTCCAAAAGGTAATGTTTTGTTGATGTACATCCAGTGATTACTTTCTGGGAGTTACATTAAAATCTGACAAACAGACATGGACAAAATTGTTAAGATTTGCCTTTCAGCAGCAGTTGGTAACATGTTCAATCTGTTTAAGTGGTTTTGTAATACCAGTGATCTTAGCCTGGGTGGAGTCTTTAGGTCCAGGAGAGAAGAGCAGTTCTCCATGCTCGCCTCCAGACAGTGGGCCATACTTGATGCGATACTGGTCCACCTGAGCCCGGCTGTTTTTCCACTCCAGAGTGATGCTCTCATCTGTCAGATCCACGGTGTGCAGGTCTCTGGGAGCGTCCAGGTCTGCAGGATACAAGGACACGTCATTTAAACAAAAGGAGTCTCATCAAACCAGACTGTTTGTGGGCCCAAATCAAGTTTGTTTTAGGATCAGCTCTACTTGCAGGTTTTACTGCTCCCTTCAAATGTTAGGAAAAACTCAAAGTGAATTTTAGCAAAACAAAAGCTAAAACTAGCAAAAGAGAAAAAGTTAAGGGTAAGAGCCATTTCTATGAAATAGTTCACATTCCAATGCCCAATATGCTGATTTCTAATTTCAATTATTTATTTGAACTATAGTTTGTTACTCTGTTAAAAAACTTTAATAGAAATTCCATGTTAAATACAGTATTCCTATTACATGATGCATTTTAAGTGGCTGCTGAATTGCTGATATAAAAACAGGAAAGACTTCAGCAGAGCAAGTTCTTCCATTTGTTCCATCTCAAACTGGTGCTAAATGCTGGTAAAACCAAAGGGATGTTGTTTTCAAACTCGCATTTCTCAAGTTTTAAGCCTCATGTTGAAAACTTGGTAAAGAAACTGCAAGTTAAACTGGGTTTCCTTTTGAGAAATAGATCTTGTCTAACTCTGAATGCTGGGAAACACCTTGTAACTGCCATATTTCTCCCCTCCGTTGACTACGGTGACAATATTTATATGAATACTACAAGAACCCTGCAGATGTTGGATGCTGTCTATCATGGTGCACTAAAATTCATAACTGGCTGTAACTACCATACCCATCACTGCACCCAGTATTCACTGGTTAACTGGTCATCATTAAGGGAAGGAATGGGAAGAGGGTGTCTGAGATTGTCATCATATTCTGTTCCCGTACAATGGCGAAATTAGTTCTCTACATTTAACCCATCACACCTGAGATACACCCAGGTGGAGCAGTGGGCAACTATGTAAGTGCTCGGGGAGCAATTAGGGATTGGGTGTCTTGTTCAGACAGACCACGACATGTGGGAATGGTTGGGGGTTGAACTGTGACTTTCTGGTCCCAGGTCAGCTGCCCTGCCTCTACCCCATCTCAGCCCCCAATTATATATATATATA